GAGCAGGAGTGCTGTTAAACTGGATGTTGCATCAGCAAGCCCAGTTTCTGACTTCAAAGAGCTCAAAAGACCAAAGTCTGCCAAATAGTGATGCAACAATCAGACAACAAGTGATATTAAGGACATAATGGACATGTTAGCCTGGCTCTCTAAAGAAATTTTGTTCAAGGAATGACTTTTGTCTTGCTTGTTTCTCTGCCAAGCTCTCCTCTTTCTCCAGTTGGTTTTGGATTCATCTGTCCATTTCAGCCTGTTTTTTACAGAAGCATAAACATACCAGGTTCTTGTGGTGAGCTGAAGCACCAGGTTCAAAAGAACTTTGTGACACCCAACAAGTGGGTATATAAGAAAGGCACAAATTAAAAGCAGTTGTTGTGGTATGGGCTGCAGGACAGTAAGATCACAAAAAATCAAATGCTCTAAGTTCTCTTGCTTACAGAACAACTTGTATTCTTGCGGGGAACAGTCTAGACTCATTTTACACTGTTGATTCTCTTGTGATTTCAAATAGTCATAACAATTCACTTAAAACTGCTTCAGCAATGTGACTTAAACACATTTGATCTAGACAAGAGTTAAAGTAATTAGCTGACATTTGATTTTACTTGATATGGATCCAAACCATGAAACTTTGAACACCCTTGGGTTCAGAAGTGTTTCATTCAGTGTTTGGGTACTAGTCTGTGTTCTCAAGTAACCTTTTTAAACTTGGCAAACATAATACCAGATTTAAAATAAAGGCACTACATAGGGAATCAAGTCTGTAAATACTTTTTCTTTAAATATAGAAATGCTCTAGACTATAATTGTGGAAGCAGAAGGACTAGAAAATGGCTTATCTGTGTTAAAGTGCGTTTGTGTTTATGTGCAGTGTTCACACTTGTATATGTACTTACGTGGCTGTACAAAACATTACTCCTGCTGCACGGACCTTACCGTCTTAGTAGACAACCAGGGCAATCGTGCTTTGAGAGTCAGAGGATGGTGCTAACTTAGAGCATGTGTGCATTTTCAGTTTTATGATGTGACGACAGCAGCGCTCTGACACTGGTTAACATTTGTGGGCCTTGTGGAAGGAGCGAGTCTCCATGAGGGACTTGGCTGGAGGAAACCTGCCTGCCTGGTACACAATGTTGAGGAGGGTGTTCCAGGCAGGGTTGAAATAAGGATGCGTAGCATGATGTTTTACATTGCAAGTGATGCAAGCTTGTTATTTTTCTCTTGCACTCTAATATAGGAGGGAAATGAAGAAGATTGAAAAGGAAGCGTAGAGATGTTTCTGTTGAATGTAGAGGCGTTCACTTCCTCCTTCAAAGAGCAATTATATGCAGACTCAAAAAAGCTGTATGTGATAAGCATACATTCTATTTGCTAAGTTACGAAACTGAGATGAGAAGGGAAGACTCTGTGGCGGGGAAGATTTTGTAGGATTTAATTATAGCCTATGTATATAGGGGCAAAAGAGAGACAGTTAAGTAGGTATCTTCAAGAAGGCATGCTTATGTGACACCAAAACCAGTGCTACAGTATTTGTTTTGTTAAACTATATGTCTGTTGTACAGGTAATTCACTAGTAGAGCATGTTGTGATTTTTTCCTGCTTTGGGACAAACTGAAGTAATAAAAAGAATGTAGAAGTCAGAGCTTCCCATGAAGCTTTGAAAAGAATACAAGCAACAGCAATGTGGAAGAACCCTGATTCAGTGATACGCACTTTACAATAACTTGCTGCATACATAATACCCAGAAATTACTCAGTTTGGTACCTAAGCAGCACAGTGGGAAGTCTTCAGATTCTTTGATAAAGTTTACTCTCTGTATTACAGCATACAAATTGTATTATTTTCCCTTACCTCTGTATAATTCTTCAGTGATTTTTTAAAAAAAATTCTTAATGTGCTAAAGAAAAATGTTTGATGCATTTCGAGGGTTTTACTATCACTTAGTAAATAGAAGACCAACAGGGAAATTCATCACTGTGACCATTAATTATGTGACAATTTTGAACTCTGCCATCCAGATTCAACATGTGAGTTAAATAATCATTCATATAAGTAACAATAAATGTGTCATATATACAATATCCTATATCTGAGGATCTCAGAGCAGTTTACAAGTTTGCATCTCACAGTGTTCCTATGAGAGGGGAAAAATACAGGCTTAGAAATTGAAAAAAATTCTTAAGACTGCTTGGGAGATAAAGAAGGAGGAGGGTCCAGATCTTACGATTTGGGAAACCTATGTGTAACTTAAAATTATGGGACAAATGTATACAATTTATAGAATTACTGTATTACTGAACTCTTTCATATAGCTTGAGTTGACCTTAAGGTGTGAAAGATGTGCCATCCATCTCCTGAACAAAAAGTAGTACAGGATAATGGAAGATCATTTTATGCTGCTAACTACTTTTCCTTTGAGAGCCATGGCTGAAGCCAGTCAGCATAATTAAATTTGTCTGCAGAAAAAAAGGGTTGTCAACAAAGACATCTTAACAGCATTTATGTGGCTGCAGTCAGTGAGAATTGAGGAGAATAATATGTGGGCAGCCATAAAGGAAAGAGACACATTTTGTAGCCAAGAAGTGAGAATTTTCACAGAGGTCAACAAGAGAAGGTGAACAAGAGACCTACAGGGGCACCTGACATGTATCTGCCCCAGAGCCTAATCCCATCTCACCAAACCACACTATTGAGGATCACAGAATTGTTGAGGTTGGAAAAGGCCGTTAAGATCATTGAGTATAGCCATTAACCTCACACTACCAAATCTACTACTAAACCACGTCCCTAATCACCACATCTACATGTATTTTGAATATGTGTAGTCACCAGGGATGGTGACTCAACCACTTCCCTGGGAAGTCCATTCCAATGCTTGACAACCCTTTCCATGAAAAATATTTTCTTAATATCCAATCTAAACCTCCCCTGGCACATCTTGAGGCCATTTTTGCTCATCCTTTTGCTTGTTACTTGGAGAAGAGACTGAACTCCCACCTTGCTAGAACCTCCTTTCATGTAGTTGTAGAGAGCAGTAAGGTCATCCTTGAGCCTCCTTTTTTCCAGGCTAAACAACTCCAGTTCCTTCAGCCACTCCTCATAAGACTTGTGCTCCAGACCCTTCACCAGCTCCATTGCCCTTCCCTCTGGACATGTTCCAGAACCTCAGTGTCTTATAGTGAGGGGTGCAAAACGGAACACAGGATTTGAGGTGCAGCCTCTCAGTGACAAATACAGGGGGACAATCACTGCTTTGATACAGGCCAGGATACCTTTGGCCTTCTTGGCCACCTGGGCACACTGTTGGCTCATATTGAGCCATCTGTCAGCAAGCACTCTCAGATCCTTTTCCACCAGCAGCTTTCCAGCCACTCTTCCCCCAGCCTGTAGCACTGCATGGGGTTGTTGCAGCACAAGTGCAGAACCTAGCACTTTACCTTACTGAACTTCGAACAGTTGGCCTCAGCCCATTAATCCAGCCTGTCCAGATTTCCTTGCAGAGCCTTCCTGTTCTCCAGCAGATCAGCGCTCCCACCCAACTTGTCATCTGCAAACTGATGATCACTGATAGATCATTGATAAAGATGTTAAACAGTATTCAGCCTGGGGAACTCCGCTAGTGACCAGCTGCCAGCTCCGTTCACCACTACTCTGTGGGCCCAGTCATCCAGCCACTTTTTTTGTTGAGTGAAGGATACACCCATCCAAGCCATGAGCAGCCTGGAGAATGCTGTGGAAAATGGTGTTTCAGGTTGTACTAAAATCCATGTAGACAACATCCATAGCCTTTCCTTTGTCTATTACATGGGTCATTTTGTCATAGAAGGAGATCAGGTCAGACAAGAAATACCTGACTTTCATACCATGCTGGTTGGGCCTAATCCCCTGGTTGTCCTGTATGTCCAGTATGATGACACTTAAGATGATCTGCTCCATGATCTTCCCCAGCACTGAGGTCAGGCTGACAGGCCTGTAGTTCTCCAGATCCCCCTTCTGACCCTTTTTGTAGATGGGTGTCACATTTCCCAAACTTCAGTCAGCTGGGGTCTCCCCAGCTCACCAGTAAATGATTGAAAGTGGCTTGGCAAGCTCTTCCACCAGTTCCCCCAGTACCCTTCTGTGGATTCCATCTGGCCCCATAAACTTGGGTGGGTCTAAGTGGTGTAGCAAATGTGACCATTTCCTCTTGGATTATGGAGGCTTCGTTCTGCTCCCTGTCCTTGTCTTCCAACTCGAGGAGTTGGGTATCAGAGAACACTGGGTTTTACTCTTTCAGAATGAGACAAAGAAGACATTAAGGAACTCAACTTTTTCTTACCTTTTGTCACATGTTTTACCCACATGCAATGAAGAAGAGAGATTCTCCTTAGCCCTTATTTTGTTGCTAATGCATTTTTAGAAATATTTTTTATTGTCATTTATGGCAGTGCACAGATTAAGTTCTTGTTGGGCTTTGACCTTTGTAATTTTCTCCCTGAGTAACCTCACGACATCCTTGTAGTCCTCCTGAATTGTGTGCCCCCTTCTTCCAAAGGTTATAAGCTCTCTTTTTTCCTGAGTTCTGTCTGAAGCTTTATTTTTAGCCAGGCTGGTTTTCTTTCCCACTGGATTATCTTTCTACACATGGGGCCAGCCTGCTCCTGTGCCTTTAGGATTTCCTTCTTGAAGGATGTCTAGAATTCTTGGATTCTGTTGACCTTCAGGACTGCCTCCCAAGTGACACTATTAACCAGACTCCTAAACAGGTCAGAGTCTGCCCTCTAGAAGTCCAAGGCAGAGATTTTATGGACCCCCTTCCTTATTTCCTCAAGAACCAAAAGCTCTTACCATTTGGTGATCACTATACCCAAGATGGCCTCCAGCCGTCACATTACCCACAAGTCTGTCTCCATTCCCAAACAACAGGTCCAGAGGTTACCTTCCCTAGTTTACTCCATCACGAGAGGTGTCAGGAAGCGATGTCACCTGCTTCACACTCGAGGAATCTCCTAAGCTCTTTCCTTTCTGCTGTGTTGTATTTTGAGCAGACATCTGGTAAACTGAAATCCCTCATGAGAACAAGGGTGAGGATTTTGAGACTTCTCCCAGCCTCTTAGAGAATATTTCATCTGCCTCTATATCTTCATTTGGTGATCTGTAGCAGACTCCCACCATGATACCTGCCTTGTTGGCCTTCCCCCTGATTCTTAGCCACAAACACTGAATCCTATCCTTACCATCATCAAGCTCTAGAAAACCAAAACACCTCCCAACATACAAGCCTTTCCCACCACCTCCCCTCCCTTGCCCATCCCTTCTGAGGAGTTTATAGCCATTCATTGCAACATCCTAGTTGTGTGACTCCTTTCACAATGTTTCTGTGATGGCAACTAAGTCATACTTTTCCTGCTGTGCAGAGACTTTCTGCTCCTCCTGTTACCCATGTTGCATGCACTGGCGCAGATGCACTTCACCTACTCTGTTGATCCCAGCACCTTTTTTAGGGGGGAGAAACCCTAAGTCCTATGTGACTATTCTTAGGTGCTTTCATGGTTTCTAACACATAAATTACCCTTGCATCTTCACTGCTAAATGTATTTCCATCCCCTACTTCCCCTGAGACGGGATACAAAGGACCTTGCTAGCACCCTGTCCCTCAGACACTGGCATACTGCCCCTGGACTTATCTTTAGTGACCCTTGATTTAACCTTTTCTCCTTTACAGCAGTTTAAAACTTTTTCAGTGAGCCCTGGTAACTCCTGTACAAGGATCTTTTCCCCCCCTTTGAGATAGTTTTGCCCTGTCTGTTGGCAGCAGCCTGCTCTTTTGTTCCCTTTAGCTATATCCATGTGTATAGCCTTTATCTGTGTCCATATGTATATATCCCCATATACATGTTCAGCAATTGGCTGGGCCCAAAGTCAAAAACATATTCATGCTGTATATGAGATCCTGATTTCAGCTGTTTCAAATTCGCAGAAGCACTCTGAGTGGTGAATCTGTTCAGGCATCTTGCATCTTTGCTTTTGCTTTGTTCCTTTTAATTCTTTTCTCATAATTCAAGCTTCTCTGAGGAACCTTGAATAAGCTGGATGTACAGATTTACTGAGTTTGAGACGCAAGCAGGCTAAAAGGGAATTCAGAAGTCTACAGGACTTGCCCACCATGTGTTGAGCAACAGTTGTTTTGGAGTACATGGTCACATATTATTTGATGTGGTTACAGATAGGCAGTCCCTGCTGGCAATGAGATGAGGGATGCATCCAGGCCTAGCTCACCATCTGCTTGTTTCTCTTCTTGTCTGTTGTTCAAGATGTGAATTGTGAATGAGAATAGCTAAAAGTTGAACTGTAGGAAAATTTATATCTTGGGTCTTATGGACAACAGGAGGTGGGAAGTGGTTTAGGAGTACAGGGCAGTTGGTCTGGTAGAGTGTCTCATTACAAAAGGGTTAACGGAGTGCCGAAGAGTCACACATACACCGCGAAGGGTGAGAATGAGACTCCTGTCGAGAGGATCTCATCAGGTGAGACTGGTGCCAGAGGACTCCATTACTCAGAAAATGTCCCACTGACTGAGCTGTTTCACACCAGGTTGCTTGGCTTCTTGTCCTGCCTGCCACCCACTAGGATTATTTTGTACAAGATTGGAGTTGAATGCTGTCATGCTGAACTTAGAGAGTTGTGGGGGGGAGGGATGGGAGCAGAGAGGGAATGGGAATGTGGTGTGCAGATGTGTGAAGGTGAGAGTAAAGCTTATCAGCTACTGGTTCCACAGGGTGGTGGGCTTTTCCTTTTTTTTTTTTTTTTCCTGCCTCTTCTGTTGAAGTCATCAATCGAACAACCTCAGTTATCCAGCCATGCAACGTAAAAGTACCAGATCACTACATTAGGGTATGAATACTTCTAAATATTTATAATAATTAAACATAGTCTTTGCTCTTTTGGCCAGCTGCTCTCTGAGAAACTCTTGAGTTTAAAAAACCTTTGAGACCCCAGTGACACTTTCCTCCATTGCATAGTATTTTCCTTTCGTTTTCAGTAAACCAGGTTTGAACTGACAAATTTCTGTGAAGTCCTGTGGCCAATTTAATATTTAATACAGACCTGTTACATTATGCTGTTTTCAGGAATGTCTTGAACCATCCTCCCTCTGCTAACCTGCTGTGCTGATCCAACCCCTGAGAAGGAGTTGACAGCCCGTGGGGACAGAGGAGTGTTCTGCAATTCTGCAGAAAGGCAGAATAATAAAAGCTCATAAGGACAAAGAGTGATGTATCTGAAGTTTGTGATGCAGTTATCACCCAAGTAACTTCAAAGAAAAAAAGAAAATAATCCAACAAAATCAGAGCATAGACTTGAATGCACAGCAGCTGGTGACCTGAAATGGAAATCTGCACTAAATGG